CTTTATGCTCTATACTATGGGGATACCCATAGATTCTTATACTATATCCTATAAAGATGCCCAAACGTTCACAAGCGCTATTACATAGGGGTATCCATCGGTTCGCAAGCCCTACTTTATGGAGGTTCCCAAAGATCACCAAACCCTGTCATAGCCCATGGGAATCTATGCATACCCCATAAAATATGGCTCCGGGACGTATCGGTACCTTTATAGAATAGGGCATGAGGACCTATGTGTACCCACATATTATAGCCCTTAAGGATCTATAGGTCCCACCATAGAGTAGCCCTTGAGAACCTATGGGTACCCATAGGGTAGCCTGAGGTCCATCAGTTCGTGAAATAGAGCTGTTTGATCAGATAAGCTCTTTTGAAAAGAGGTGTTCAAAAAGATGCGCTCATATCAAAACAACTGTTTGAACAGTTCTTCCACTCAGATGAGCTGAGCTTTTGAGCTGGAGCTGGTGCACCCCTACGCGCGACCCTTGACAATATTTGTGACTCTTTGATGTTTGATGCTGCTTCACAGTCTTGAAAACAACTGGTATCCAACGTGTCAAAAGAGTGGATAGATATGTGTGGGTTGATATTAGCGTCAGTCTCGTTGTGCACAGTTGTGTGTGGGTCGGAATGAACATTTTTATCACAAATACATCTAATCAAATTGATATTTTTACATTTATACTGAATGCTTCAAGAAACTACACTATGGCGGCGATGTTCACATGCATTAGAAAAAACAGATTATGTTCAATTTTCTCAGCGGTCAGGAAACAAACCGCATTCATGACACTATTGCAAAACAGAGCCATACTACCTGAAATTTCTACTAGAAATTTTTTGGATTATGGAAACATTAGGCAACAATATCTTTTTACTCAGGTGTGCGCTACAAAAATACGGATTCAATTGAATTCCTGGGTTAAAATGAATCATTCTAGATCAATCTTCAATCGTACTTTCATACTTGAAGAAACTCCTACTTAAAGTAACCGTCAGATTAGATAAGTAATTTTAATATATCCGTATAGATTTCGACATTTGAATGAATACAGACAAGAACATATACAAGCAGAAGAATTTCCGTTTATTTCATTTATATCTACTTTTGATACCATGAATAAAAAAACTCTGACTGACGTTTTCCGCAAAATGTACTATTGAAATATTGTGCACTTGCAGAAAAAGCGTTCTCACACTTTATTTCAAAATATTTCTCAGTTCTCAGCAACTGCAACTCCTTATTCAAATTTATTAGACCAAGATTGCTGATGTTTGTTTGATGAATACAAACAGCTTGAAGCGTCTCTTTAACACATTCACCACGATGGGGTCCACCGGTGGACCTCACTTTGCATTTCATATTTTAATCTCTAAATACGTTTTATTAAAAAAGCAACATATACCATAAGATTCAGCGTGAAAAGCTCTACAATCTCCATAGTAAAGCTTATTTTAATGGTGTAATTTTTGTTCTCAAAGAAAGTAAAACTGTGCGTAACTAGTTCTCAAAGTTGCGAAAGGGTCATTTTTTCTGCATGAATGTGAAATTTCATTTTTCTTGTTGCATCTTTTTATCACCTAATATTATTTCGTATGAAAAAACAAAATATAGCACAAGATGCAGTGTGAAACGCTCTACAATCTACATCGTGAAGTTTATTGTTTGTTTTCGAAAAAAGTAAAATTCTGTGCAATCAATTTTCGCAACCTCAAAAATTGGTCACACACAATTTTAGTTTATTTTGAAAACAAAAAGTACACAATTGAAATAAGTTTTATGATGTAGATTGTAGAGCTTTTCATGTTGCATCTTGTGGTGTGTTTTGTTTTCTAATAAAACGTATTTAAAGATGTTAGTTTCTATGGAATTTGAATAGTGGTGAATGTGTTAAGGGACTTTTTAGTGCATCAGCTATTTGTTTGTCGGGGATCTTTCGAGGTACTTCTCACGGCTAGCCACTATTATGTTTTTGATTCCATTTCTCCATAACGTCATCCTTTTTTTATGTAGACTTCATATAATCTCAAATTCGACTTAATTTGAAAAACTATTAGATCTGTAGCACGAGAATTCTAGATCACAATCTCTAAACCAAAGCGTCATTATGAACTATTTCTGATTTCTTCAATTTCCTACTGTAACTGGAAAATCAGAGTTTTATTGAAATTTCTCATTAAATATTAGTGCAGCATTCTCACAAAAAAACATAACTTTTAGATTTATCTTTCATGAGCGAAATCTGCAGAATGGTTGCAATATGAATCCTTAATGATTTGTTTTACATGAGAGCACTTATAATAACAGTTTGTTTATTATTCATTTAACGTAAAACATATGGTTTCATTTTTATACATCAATTTTTTATTATTTTTTTTCGAGTTATCATAACTGAAAATTACAAGAGCTGGAGATTCTCCAAGCATACACAAGATTAAAAAATTGACTGTTTATAATCATAATAATAAATAACAATTTATTGGCACATCCCAGTTTAAGATCTTGCCCTATCTGTGGATAAATTTCCTCAAAGCACAAATATAAACATATGAAAGAAGTAGAAGAAATACGCTCTCAAAATCAGTTCTATTGAAAAATTGTTAGAATATCTACTCAATTTTTTTTCAATTCACCTATCGTTTCAAAACACACTATTGTCTTCCCTTGAACATAACTGGCTTTTATTATGCCTTTGAAAGCTGCAGAGATACGAAGATTTGACATGGAAAGCACCTCTTGGTGAAATCTCAATGGTATTTTTATGACAAGTATGTAAGGTTTTAAGGCACGAATCACTTCGATCGTTTAAAGTTGTGAAGATTATTGTCGAGGTGTTCCTAATCTGCTTGTCTTTGCCGTTTTTCGAGACATTCCAATAGCTACCTATGTACAACAAATAGTTCCGGTGCCCGTCCGAATCATATTAGTACGGATACAAATCACTAAGGGTTTCTTATAACTATCGAATAATCAGGACCGTTTTCAGTAGCATATCAGTTGCTATCCTTTTCATTAAATCCCCTAATAGCCACAAGCGGTCTGTATTAACGAGAAAAAAGTCACTAACTTCATCACTATTTTCATAAAATTCGCAAAATTCGCCAATATTCACTCTCATTTTCTTCTTTCCATAAATTTAGACACAATATAAAGCTCACATAAACAAAACTTAATTACTGTTATCATTTAAAAATAAAAAAATCTTTTGAATACTGATAGAGTAAAAAGACTTACGAGGAATACTGCAATATCCAAAGACTTACGTCTGCTTCTTGTATTAACGCGATATATATTATAATAACCAATGCAATACGTTGGTAATGTATTGATGTTTTTTAATAAAGAAAATGAAAGCATTATATTACTTCTATACATATCGAAAAAATATTTGGCTTGCGTGCAATCAACCGTAGACGTGGGATAAAGCATGATCATATATTATTGAGACATACTGGGTTTTTATTCTTTTGCTTGTTCTTTCATTTATCGATTATACAGCTTGAATAATGAAGAGAGATAAAGCTAATTGATGGTTGAAAAAATATGCATACTATCATGGTCTTATTTTTATTTTTCTTTCTATCGTTGCACAGGATAGGTAAAATATACAGGCTTCACAAGCAATATTACACTAAGTTATATCATCGATCCTGTTAAAACGGAGATCAACGGTCCCTTCTGCCTATGACAGAAGATATTGGTGTCCACTGCCATTTTTGGAAGCATTGCTTGCCCATATACATATTTCTCCTCAAAAATCGACATTTCGATGAAGTCTCATCATTGGGATCGTTTCTGATCCTCACAGTAACTGGGAAGTCACTTTTGACGGTTGCCTTGGATACTATCGTCGTGTGTATCCTTACTTTGATTCAGATTTATTTTCCGGTCGTTATTTTTCTTTAAGTTGCAGTTCAAATCATCATTCTGTTATTTGTCTTGGTGGGAAGTTAGCTTTCGACAAAACTTACATTCTCAAACGACAGAATAACTTACATTATCTACTTCGAGCTTAATATCAAGATCTGTCAGATCGGTTCTATTTAATAATGGCTCTGTCAAACCAAAATTGTCGTTCTGTTATTACTCATTGTTCTGTACCATTTCAAAGCTTTTCATGTAGCAGTACTCATCTTTATAACATTTGCGTTCGATATTTGTCCTCAGTTGGCATCTAAGCTTTAGAGTGTATAACCAGTTCGATCATATTCTTAATTAGGGTGGCAGCTTCGAACTAAACT